ATATTAAATTTCATGGAGACTTTAACTTTTATTATATTATTTTAAATAAATTTAATTTCGATTTTGAAATTATTTTAATTTTGATTTTTGGTGCTAATTTTCTACTTTAAAAATTTCTAGTGAGTTTTTGTTGTATAATTTGAATTTAACAGCCTATTCTTGTTTTTAAGTAATTTATTGCTATTCTCCTTCGTATTTGCTTGTTCCTCCTACCTTAAACCCTTAAATCTCACCAGCATTTACCGGCAACTCCTATTTTGACACTTCAACACCTTACGGTTGTTATAACGCAGCAAACAAAGCCACAATAACAACATTAGCAACAGAATGCTCGTATAACCATCACAAAAATAAATTATGATTGTGGTTGCCTGACACTGGCAAAATCAACGAAAGTGCCCACAAACACACACGTACACGACAAGCGCATATAGAAGTCGACATGCATAGCTTTAATCCCATGAAATGCTACTCGTTGACCTTACTGTGTGGCACAGTGCGTATACGTTACCCACGCGCGCACACACACAACAATACACGATATTCGCACAAAGCAGGTAACGTATACGCAGTGTATGTCGTTGCTAAAGGGAGGGGTTAGAGAGAATTTGTGCTGTATTCATGCAGCGAAGGCGGGAAATGCGTGTCGGCAGTACCACACACTTCTGGTGAAGAGGACAGACCAAAATGTAGTGGAGAAATTAGCGGCGTGTGAAGTGCAAAGAAGACGGATTCGTTAAGGTGAAAAGTGTGCTTGTGCGCTCAAGCTTCTGCGGTTGCTGTGGCTTTTGCGGTTGCAGCTCGTCAATTGTGGCATTGTTCGTATAATAGTTGGTTATAGTTGTTAGGTTGAGTGTTTGTGTGTGAAGGTGTGTGGTTGCTTTGCTGGAACGAGAGGTTGAGCTTCAAATTATTTAGTACTTTGCTTGAAATTTAAAAATCGGAATGCAAGCGAGCTCGGTAATTTTGTTAGTTTCGCACTTTACAAATTTTTATACACATTTTATGTTTTATATTTTTTTTTATCTAAGAGATGATTTTTTTATATTTTA